AATTAATTAACTCAAATGTATTAAACGTATTCTTTGCTCCTCTCTGTCAGTCAGGTGAAAAAAATCTCTGCTTGCCAATCACTCCGTAATGAAACACTCGTCTATAATCCGATTGGCGCTTAATTTGTTAATTATGTGGCTTGCTGTGTCTCCGACCTGGGCTGGCGGCCAGGTGGTGGGCCGAGTGGGCGGCCAGGTGGTGGGCCGAGTGGATGGCCAGGTGGTGGGCCGAGTGGATGGTCAGGTGGTGGGCCGAGTGGATGGCCAGGTGGTGGGCCGAGTGGATGGTCAGGTGGTGGGCCGAGTGGATGGTCAGGTGGTGGGCCGAGTGGATGGTCAGGTGGTGGGCCGAGTAGATGGCCAGGTGGTGGGCCGAGTGGATGGCCAGGTGGTGGGCCGAGTGGATGGCCAGGTGGTGGGCCGAGTGGATGGCCAGGTGGTGGGCTGAGTGGATGGCCAGGTGATAGCCATTAACGTCCCGTCCCTTTCTTACACCCATCTCATCCGTACCTCTCACCTTGCTCTTACCTTCCTCTAGGAACTTCCTTCTCCTCGCCTTTCTCTCTCTCTTGCCTTACTTAATGTCCGTGCCTCCCTCGCTCCCAAGTAAGTCCACTACGGGCTCACCATAGCCCGTGCTACTTGCCCCGCTCCTGTGCCAGGTAAATATCCTACTGGCTCACCATACCCCGTGCTACTTGCCCCGCTCCTGTGCCAGGTAAATCAACTACTGGCTCACCATACCCCGTGCTACTTGAAACATTTTTTTCCCCAGTAGCTGATTCTAAAACAACCACCACCTCGCGCCCATCACAATCAACTTGATAAGGCCCAGGACGGCCGAAACGTCGTCTTGTCCTCCTCCTCCTCTTCTGGTGTGAGGTGTTCCGTCTTCACATCTTCCGCCACGGTATTGTGACTCCTCGTCAGCCATGGGTGACAATGTCGGTGGGCGGGAGAGGGAAGGACGTGTCCCCCAGGCGTCCAGGGGACCGACGGGTGGGTCATGCTGGGAGGACAAGGTCGCGAGACGGCGACCTGCACCTCGTACAGGACGCTGGTGTTGACGTTTGGAGCAGGGGCGGGGAGGGGAGATACTTGGTGTACACTCTACAGCGGGGTTAGTGTACACTCTACAGCGGGGTTAGTGTACACTCTACAGCGGGGTTAGTGTACACTCTACAGCGGGGTTAGTGTACACTCTACAGCGGGGTTAGTGTAGACTCTACAGCTGGGTTAGTGTACACTCTACAGCGGGGTTAGTGTACACTCTACAGCGGGGTTAGTGTACACTCTACAGCGGGGTTAGTGCACACTCTACAGCGGGGTTAGTGCACACTCTACAGCGGGGTTAGTGCACACTCTACAGCGGGGTTAGTGCACACTCTACAGCGAGGTTCGTGCACACTCTACAGCGGGGTTAGTGCACACTCTACAGCGAGGTTAGTGTACACTCTACAGCGGGGTTAGTGCACACTCTACAGCGGGGTTAGTGCACACTCTACAGCGAGGTTAGTGTACACTCTACAGCGAGGTTAGTGTACACTCTACAGCGGGGTTAGTGTACACTCTACAGCGAGGTTAGTGTACACTCTACAGCGGGGTTAGTGCACACTCTACAGCGGGGTTAGTGCACACTCTACAGCGAGGTTAGTGCACACTCTACAGCGGGGTTAGTGCACACTCTACAGCGGGGTTAGTGCACACTCTACAGCGAGGTTAGTGTACACTCTACAGCGAGGTTAGTGTACACTCTACAGCGGGGTTAGTGTACACTCTACAGCGGGGTTAGTGCACACTCTACAGCGGGGTTAGTGTACACTCTACAGCGGGGTTAGTGCACACTCTACAGCGAGGTTAGTGTACACTCGACTACTGGCTGGTGTACGCCTATGTACACAAGCCAGTAGAGTAATATTACACAATATTACCAACCCACACTAATTTATAATATTTATAATGCTACAATATATAATATCAAGACGGGGCGACCAATATAAAGTAAAAAAGAGAATTGGCTTAATGCTATTGTCAAAAAAATTTCGCATCGAAATATCACTGGGAGACTGTCGCAAATTGAACAAAAAATGATATTTTCCGATAATAATTACGTTTTTGCTTTCAGCAGTAAGTGGAGGAAAAATACGTGACAAGAACGGCTCGTCCAGTTTTATTGTATATATATCTAACATATTTACCCATAAACAATGTATTGTAAATGAACGTGGTCATTTGAATGTTCGCTATGTAGTATATATATATATATATATATATATATATATATATATATCTATATATATATATATATATATTTAATTGTTAATAGCCTCAAGACAGGTAAAAAACTAAGCAAAAAGAGAGCGTAATTGGATGATAAAAATGAAGAAAAAATGCGTTGGAGATAATTCAGGTGAGAAAAGGTTAATTGACGTGATCAACGGGGCTATGAGCTCCCGCTGACAGGTGGCCGACCTGCCAAAACGCACTAATCTGAGTATTTAGGTTCGGAAAGCTCATAGTTTCCCCCTCTCAATAATTGTTATTTTTGTTTGAAGGCGGCTTACCGATGTGGATAAGGTTTATATATATTTAGGAGGCTTGAGTAGTCTGATCGTTAACAGTTAATTTTTACCATCATATATTTCATTGTTATTAATTGACAGTGATAGGGAATATGCCCGTGGATATATGTAGAGAAATCAATAAAAGTAACACTTAGAGCTTGAGATTTAATGCGCATATGACGATGGTATTGCAAACAAATGGGGTGAGCTGTGTGAGAATGACTCTGATGTAACGGCTGAGGCAGAGATCACAATTATTGAGATGACTGCTGCTACAGTGCTTTCCGGACGCTGCTACATCACATGACAAGAAAGAAAGCCGTACAGCGGAGGCAGAACAATGCTGGTTCGAGGAAGTAACAGTCACAAACGGATATACAGGTTCTCGCAGGAATAAATATGTCAGGTTAAAGTAGGGAAGTGGCTGAGGACGTGTACAATCTTACAGAAGGCTGTGATAAAATAGAAAGATGGTCTGAGAAATAGATTCTCAATTGTTATTCAAGTAAATGCAAGGTGATAAGATTTGGGTTATAAAGGAGTACGTTCACAGGGACAACACTTGATAAATGTTTAAGTCAGAAAATAAAAACAGACCTGAATAATAAACACAACAAAACCTATCACTAGAGTCACACATTAACAGAATAACATCAGCGGTGCATGTAAAGCTGGTAGACACACATGTAGCCTCCAGAAACACGGACAAGAAAGGTTTCTTAAAATTTAACAAGGAAGCTTACAGAACATAGTACACTGTGTTAGAACACTACTGCACTGTGTTCACCAATGAATAAATTCCCACACTATGGGAAACACTAAGCTAATAGGCAGAGAAAGTCCAGAGATTTGCTTCATGACTGGACCCTAATCTTAGAAGGCTGACGTATGAAAAAAAAGGCTGAGGGGAACTAGACTTCACCACGCTCGAAAAAAGTGAAGGGCAAGAGAGACATGATTACCATATGTTCAATATTTAAAAGCCTTGACAAACGCACAGCAACGAATTGTTTGGCAAACAGGTAGGACAAGAAGGGCATGGATGGAACCAAGACACTCAAATGAACCACATAACTGTAAACAGGTCTTCTTGAGTGTAACAATATTCTGTATATGGAACAAGCTATGTCAGGTGGTAGGTTGTTAAGATTATTTCAAGAGGTAAGTTAATAAGCAGTAAGAGGGTTGGGAGGCATGGCAATAAGCCACTGAATATTGCCTAGGTAAATCACTCGCCACATCACGTCATCACACATCATCATCACACTACATAATCTCACCACATCACCACACAACATCCCATCACGTCATCACACCACACATCATCTCACCACATCAGAACACATCACACCACATCACCACATCACGACACATCACACCACATCACCACACCACATCACGACACATCACACCACATCACATGTCTCTGAGAGAGACAAGAGACAAACACCGTGTGTGTGTGTGTACTCACCTAGTTGTACTCACCTAGTTGTGTTTGCGGGGGTTGGGCTCTGGCTCTTTGGTCCCGCCTCTCAACCGTCAATCAACAGGTGTACAGATTCCTGAGCCTATCGGGCTCTGTCATATCTACACTTGAAACTGTGTATGGAGTCAGCCTCCACCACATCACTTCCTAATGCATTCCATTTGTCAACCACTCTGACACTAAAAAAGTTCTTTCTAATATCTCTGTGGCTCATTTGGGCACTCAGTTTCCACCTGTGTCCCCTAGTACGTGTGCCCCTTGTGTTAAATAGACTGTCTTTATCTACCCTATCAATCCCCTTCAGAATCTTGAATGTGGTGATCATGTCCCCCCTAACTCTTCTGTCTTCCAGCGAAGTGAGGTTTAATTCCCGTAGTCTCTCCTCGTAGCTCATACCTCTCAGCTCGGGTACTAGTCTGGTGGCAAACCTTTGAACCTTTTCCAGTTTAGTCTTATCCTTGACTAGATATGGACTCCATGCTGGGGCTGCATACTCCAGGATTGGCCTGACATATGTGGTATACAAAGTTCTGAATGATTCTTTACACAAGTTTCTGAATGCCGTTCGTATGTTGGCCAGCCTGGCATATGCCGCTGATGTTATCCGCTTGATATGTGCTGCAGGAGACAGGTCTGGCGTGATATCAACCCCCAAGTCTTTTTCCTTCTCTGACTCCTGAAGAATTTCCTCTCCCAGATGATACCTTGTATCTGGCCTCCTGCTCCCTACACCTATCTTCATTACATTACATTTGGTTGGGTTAAACTCTAACAACCATTTGTTCGACCATTCCTTCAGCTTGTCTAGGTCTTCTTGAAGCCTCAAACAGTCCTCTTCTGTGTTAATCCTTCTCATAATTTTAGCATCGTCCGCAAACATTGAGAGAAATGAATCGATACCCTCCGGGAGATCATTTACATATATCAGAAACAAGATAGGACCGAGTACA